GTCTACATTGGGGTACCCTAATTTTGAAACTGCCCATATGGTGTTTGCGCAGTAGCCTTTGCCTTTCCTCTTCGGGCATTTTCAGTGCAGACCGGCGCAAGGAACGCCGCACGCAACCCGAAATCTTCCAGATCATGCCCCAGCATCTCGCAACACTACCGTAGCATCACCGCATCACCATAGCATGCGTACAAAACCCAAAGACCCCAAACATGCTGCAGGCAAGCAATCTTTTGGGGCACCTCAATATAGCAAGTTTGTGATCCTCGGTTCTCACCACTTACAGGTGGTTAGGTTAGTAATCATGAAAGAGATGGAAACTGCCAACTACATCGTTTGGGCATATGTTGGGTCCATTATAGCGGTCCATTCCTCCAGTCCCTGCCAACAACCAGTCAGAAATGTAGCGGGGACTGCAGCCATAACAATACCGTTAGGTCTAAATCTGTTCCGAGCACCAAACCGTGCGATGCAAACCCTGAAGAATGAAACCCAAGCGCGGGAAGTTGCAGATCCCGGCGATACTTCAGTGGACCTCAAAAGTAATTATGAATGGGTCCCCCTGTAAAGCCATACCAAACATTCAAAACTATCCCAAAGTGCAACGTAAAGCTTCTGAAAACTCTTCGGGGGGAGGAACATCTTGCCTTGCCCTTCATGGCAGCCTTCATGGCCTTCATGGCCTTTCCCTTCATAGGGCTGGCCTGCGACATGTGTGACACATGACAACGAGTGATTGCAGAGGGAGTGTAGGGTTTCGGGTTTTGAGGCCTAGGGTTCCCAAAGACATCTTAGAGCACGCACAGACAGGGGCTTCAAAGACCACTGCTGCCTACTTCTGATCAAAGCCATCAGTCTTGATCCTGTTTGAAACACAAGTCCCTCAGTGGGAAGAACCGTGCAAAATGCATGCGAGGGACTTCAAACAAACACAGCCCCTTTTAGGACCACCACCACCATTGCAACAGCAGCTGTAATGTTTGCTCTTCACTGCAGCGGCCTTCATGGTGGTCTTCATAGGCAAAGCCATTGCGAAGCGAGAAGTCGAAAGCCGGTCAGGAGGGAGCGGGTAGCCAGCAGCTCGGAGCCAGACGCAACAAGGACTCAAGGAGTTTGGGGGTTTAGTGATGTGGATTTTAGGACTTAGGGTTAAGAGGCCATCTGATTTGACAGCGATGGAAAAAAGGCGGCCGCCTTACCCCAAGGATCCGAATAACCCAATGTAGGTTGTACTATCAGACTTCTAAGGCCATTTATACTCATGGATCCCTAGATTACTTGGAGCCCCATGGAGCTGGGCAACGGCTTGTGTTTGGGCTGCGGGCTGCTGACCCTGCGAAAGAAACACGCGCACACACGGTTGCTCTGAAGCGAGCATATGGGTACGTAGATCCCACACATAGGTCTGTTTATAACCCCTCAGACTGCTTTCTTCAGAGGGCACTTCAATCCTACAGTACTAGAACCAGCAACCTGCCTGCTGCAACAATAGGACCAAGAGCCTACAACTCCTTGTCGTCTGTTCCGAATCTTTGCCAAATGGCACATACCTCAATGGTCTCAATGCATTGATACCCAAAGGTGGAAAGAGAATTGCCATCAGATCCCCAGCAGGAATCATGGGTTCCCCTACTACCCTTAGCCTGCATTAATCTAATCCGTAAATATACCTAATTCAAGAGGAAACCTTGGCAAGGTGGGGCAAGCCATGAATGAAGCAGCTTGGAAAATGGGTGGCATCAACGCTTTGAACGATGCTTCCACATTTGGATGCAGCTAAGAAATCATAATCTTCATACCTTATTGGGTTCTAGTATCAAGTACAGTACAATAAACAAATCTGTTGTCAACTTTGATTTTGCTTCGTTCCTGCAGCCCCATCGGGCAGCTGGCATGGAAATCTTGGTACTCCTCAGTGACCATTCACCCTGCCTACTTCTGCACGATCAGCCAATAGCCAGGTCAAGAGCCCGACACCCCCAAAAAAGCAAACAAGCCCAGCAGAGCGTTCCATTGAGCAGGGAGGGGGGGCTATAGTCTAAACTCCTAGTATCCCCCTTAATAACCCTTATAGTAGTCCCCTGTATATAATCCCCTATAAATGATTGCTACATTGTAGCGGATAAGTCACAAACCCCAAACCCCTTCCTTCCACCTAGTCTGAGGCTGCGCGCATGCACATGGAGGGTAGCATTTCCCACTGCTTGGTCCTGCAAAACATATGCATTCCCCAAAGATACCTGTATATATAAATATGAATATACATAAAAAACATAAGCATAAACATAGATATGACTGACTATATACATACAATATATGTACACAGGTGTATGTGTGAAAAGGATGTAAGGACCTAAATGCCGCCATCCCTATTCTCAATACCCCAGAAGGAATCTCCATGAGCATCTCAAGAAGCGAGTTTAGGGGCTTTGGCTTCAGGTTTGGGAATGAAAACCAACGTCCCCGATATTTTTACCACCCCTAAAACCTTAACACCTAAACTCCCAAACCCCTTAAGCCTGAACTCCTCAACCCCTAAGCCCCTCAGCCCCTAACCTTAAACCCCTAAACCACTAAACCCTAAGCCTAAACCCCTATGCCCTAAACCCCTAAACCCCCCGGAGACCCGCGGGCCACACACACCCTCATCTTAGCAGAGCGTTGCTGCAGCTTTACAAGGGTCAAGAATTTCAGGTTTAGGGGTTTAGGGTTTAGGGGCTTATGGTTTGGGGTTTAGGGTTTCGGGTTGACGGCGGTGTTGAAGGTTGTCAAAATTACGGTCCATTTTAGACTCGCTAAACCTTTGGGGGCTTGCCGAAGTCAGCGCTCACCCAATCCCATGAAGGGATCCGTGTTAACAGGGAAACGCGATGGGCACCACTGAACCCTAAAATCTAAACTATGTTTAGGGCTCGGGGTAATAGGGAGATATAACCCCAATATATTATAGTAGCTTCCATTTTCTTTTCCATTATCCCTATATAAACCCTATTCTTGAATTTGCGACTGTTCAACACTCCCCAACGAAGCCTCTGAGGATGATAATGTGTTCCGTGTCGCGGTCTAGGTTTTAGGGTTTAGGCTTAGGGTTTAGAAGTTCGGGTTTAGAGTTTTAGGCTCTAAAACCCTGAACCCGAAATCCTAAACCCTAAGTTTTAGGGTTTACGGCATGCATGTAGCTTTACAGAATCCTTAAATCAAGATAAACCCAGCCTGACTGAGAGGCGGGCCCAGCGTGGGAACCCCAAACTCTGCCCCCTCAGTTACTCAGGGTTTAGGGTTTCGGGTTCTAGGATTTTAGGATTTAGGGTTCTAGGATTTTAGGGTTTAGGGTGCTAAGATTTTAGGGTTTAGGGTTTAGGGTTCTAGGATTTTAGGGTTTAGGGTTTAGGGGGGATTCATCTTCATCCCTCACCCAACTAGAATCCTGATAAACTCGGAAAACCCTTTGCTTGAAAACCATACCCTACATCCCAAAATCATCGTTTCCCAAAACATCCCTACAGAAGCCCTAGTAGAGACCCATAATCTCCTCACTTTGGGTTTCTAGGGGTTTCTTATCTTCAGAAGCCCTAAACCTTAAACCCTAATCCCAGAGCCCTATACCATGTCCTTAGACCACCCTACCCTAAACCCCAAACCCTAAACCTCTAAACCCCTAAACCCCTTGATATCCCTGTAAGACCCTTTAAAGAGTCCAAAGGTAATCCCTTGGCTTCAGCTGCACCTGAGGTCTAGGGTTGCCCCTAGTATGGGAGGGTTTAGGGTTTTGGGTTTAGGGGTTTAGGGTTTCGGGGTTTAGGGTTTAGGGTTTAGGGTTTAGAGTTTAGGGTTTAGGCCCTTAACCCTGGGATCCTCATATCTACGACATACCGAATCTGTACCCTTAAGGGTCCCTAAAATCCCCCTAGAAGCCCTCAGACCGCATATGAGCTACTCCCCATTTAATCCCCGAAAGAACCCCCTTTACGGAGTTGAGACTATAGCTGATATTAACCTTAGGTGAAGAAGTCCTCGGGTTGAACTTCTCCGCAGAGTCCATGGCAATGCCGCAGCTGCCCCCACAAACGTAGATCGAAGGCGCCTCCGAGGTTGGATGGTTGGGAACCCAAACTTAGAGGCCCACTAATGGGTTTTGGGGGCCCTGCACCCTAAGCCCTAAACCCTATACCCTAAACCCTCTACCTTAAATCCAATACCCTAAACCCTAAACCCTAAAATCTGTGATTCATTTGGGGGGGGCGTCCTTTCCCTAACGGGATGATACAGGAATTTGCAGCACTTACCGTTGGCTAGCAGCGATGAAAGAATGGATCCTTCTAGTAGTCCCTGTATAATCTCCAATCATATGGGCTATAGTCTGAACTCCTTAAAGAGGGATACAGAGGGAATTATATAGGGAAGTATGAACGGGGTTATTAAGGGGGATACTACGAGTTTAGACTATGGCTCATACACGGGCTTCCACGTTCTCTTCCTTTCCTTAACTCCCTGCTAGCAAGAGGTGAAAGAGGTTGAACACCTCCGCTTTTTGCTCAGGAGTTTCCATGCTCTTTGCAGGACCTTGCATTGATGGGTTCCCCTCCTACACACGCCCTATACTAGACCCACCTAGGCTCCACTCAATTGCCGTAGTTAGCCCAAATCATGCCTAAATGAGATTACTTCAGGGGAGCCAAGGAGGGTAGTATAGAGGGGTACTGGGGGAATCCATGATATGTAGTAGTTTCCCAAAATAGGGGGGCCCCAACATAGACCCCAATATACTGTGATCCTTATTATCGGGACCCCCCAAAAAAGTATCCTTAATTAAGGGAAACTCCCATGTTCGCTCTTGTACGAAGCCGATCAGGGTTCGTACCAGGAAATCGTAATGAGTCTTACTGGTCGAAGTCTTGTGCTGAACGATGAACAATACGTGCACCGTGTTCGGCCGGTACCCCTTCAACCCTAAACCCTATAAACCCTGAACCCCTATAAACCCTAAATCAAAAACCGTGCCCCTAATTTAATAGGACTGCCCCCAAGCCAAAGCTTGTTCGCCTTGTTGCAGGCCAGAGAGTGTACTTGGGGCTCCGAACTCCTACAGTCCTACATGCTGGGTCCCTGTTAAGGCCGTAACAAATGTGTTGCCATCATATGGGCATGTAGTCCCCTAAAATAAATACAATATGGAATTGCCCAATATCGTCATAATAAGATGCCACTGTACCGCATATTCTATCTACACAAGGGGGACTATATACAGTAAAGAATACGGTTTCCTCATTATAGCAACTTAATTCAATCTTATAAGGACCTTAACAGCCTATCAGCAACCCAACATAGGCTGCGCGCAAGAAGCAGCTCAGATACCTGCCTAGCCTGAGTCAAACCCTCAACCCTAAACCCTAAATCCTAAATCCTGTAAACCCTATAAACCCTAAACCCTCTAAATCCTGACCCTAAACCTTCAAAAACATCTCTGGCCCAACCCCTCGCAGGGAGTGAAGGACGGGAAGCGAACATGGGACTCACTATATGAGCCATAGCCGCCTAAACTCCTTGAAGGGGGCTTGTGTAGGGGGATTACATAGGGTTTAGGATTTAGGGTTTAGGGTCTAAACTCCTTAAAGGGGGTTATAAAAGGAGATTGTATAGAAGACTACTACTATAGGGGATATCAAGTGGGATATTAGGAGTTAGGGTTTAGGGTTTAGGGTCACTATATGATTGGGGGTTATACAGGGACTACTACTACAAGGATCCATTCCTTCATTGCTTGCTAGCCACACGAACTCAGCGTCTAGCCAACCTCCCAAGCAGCCGTGGAAAAGCCCTAAACCCTTAACCCCAAACCCTAAAAATTTTGCTCTCAAGAGCCGAAGGATGAATGGCAACGCACTCTCATCTCCCCCAAGCCCCCAACCTACCTTTGGTTAGCTAGGAATGAAGGAATGGATCCTTATGGTCAAGGGTTTAAGGCTTGGGGTTTAGGGTATAGTAGTCCCTATACGACCCATTTTACAGTTCCATGTTCATTTCCATTCCTTCATTCCCAGCTAACCAAAGGTAAGCCAAACGCTCTCCGAAGGCTCTCCAGGTCCGCACCCAAAATCCATGGTGACCCTAAACCCTAAACCCTAACTCCTAGTATCCCCCCTTAAAATCCCCTATAGTAGTCCGCTATACA